TTTCTAAGGTCCTGTCTTCAGAGACCTTTTGATTGGCATCTGGATTCAACTATTCTGCTGCTTTTTCGACAGGGGGCACAAAAATCAACACAAAGTTTAGGTACCTCACTGAAGTCTTGGGCAATATCACCCGAGAGGGAGTAGTGGTGTTGATTGTATCAGCATGGCTGTGCCAGGCACATGGTCACGGGCAGACTGCCGAAGATAATCTGTTAAAGTACGACAGCATGACTTTGGGGTGTGATGTTGATTTCATACAGAAGTACTGAAAGAAGCACATATTGACCAACTGCTTCAACTTCATTTTGTAGATCTTCTGCAGTTTGTTTTTGCATTTTTACCTCTTTTACGTTTTCTCTCTTTTCTCTAAGACTCTTATTTAATATATCCTAATGCCCGAGAACCTTTAGGGGGATACATTTTCAATGGGAAAATGGGTGAAAACATTAACATTACCTGGTTGTTGTTGAGCTTTAAAAGGATATTCTGGCGTAAAATTAAGTTATGGTCAAACACACCATAACACAGAGTTAGACACCCCTTGAGAGATGAATGTTACAGACTGCTTACCTCTCTAGTTACACCAACTTCAGCAATGACCGCACGATAGCAATACACAGTGGTCTACGTCTCCACGTGCAAACCTCAACCAAAACGCCACTCTATAGCCACAAATAATGCTCAGAACAGCACCTAACTTCATCAACAGTACATATAGGGTCCCAGCCATAGTACTAGCCATCAAACATCTTTCTAACTTTGCCTAATATCTTTTGCAAAGAGACTAAACACAACTCACCCACTCTCCTCCAGCAGCCGCTTATTTGTAGGGGAGTCCTGATGAGTCGCTCACTGAGTGCAGCGGAGTTTGGCAGCTCAAGGAAGAACATTTATGATCATTACTTCATGGAAATGCAATCAGACCGAGACGCTAAGGCAGAAGAACTATTGCGTCTGCAGTGCAAAATGATTAATATGATGATTATTACTTCAAGGGAATGACCCGCTGATTGACCCCCACAAACAAGCAGCTGCTGGAAGAGAGTGGATGAGTTGTTGTTGGCGAAGGCAGGCGACACCCTGGACAAGTTGCCAGTTCATCGCAGGGCTGACATATAGAGACGAACAACCATCCACGCTCACATTCACACCTACGGGCAATTTGAAAGTGGTCAATCAACCTAACGCCACTTAGGCATGTTTTTGGGATGTGGGAGGAAACCGGAGTAAACCCACGCAGACACAGGGAGAACATGCAAACTCCACACAGAAACACCCTGACCCGAATTCGAACCAAGGACCTTCTTGCTGTGGGGACAGTGCTAACCACTACACCACTGTGCCGCCCTAGGGCAACGCTAAAAATATGTCTGATCGCTAGTACTATGGCTGGGACCCTATATGTACTGTTGATGAATTAGGTGCTGTTCTGATCATTATTTGTGGCTATAGAGTGGCGTTTTGGTTGAGGTTTGCACGTGGAGAAGTAGACCGCTGTGTATTGCGATCGTGCGGTCGTTACTAAAGTTGGTATAACTAGAGAAGCAACATTCATCTCTCAAGGAGGTGTCTAACTCAGTGTGACAGTGTGCTTGACCTCAACTTAGATTTACACAGGAATATCCCTTTAAGAGGACCACAGACTTTAGTTTTTGTGCTACATATAAATTCAGTAGAGCAGTTTTTAAAGAGTGAAAAGCCTCCTGCACTACTTTGGTCACAGAGGGAACATGAGTGTACATAATAGTATCATCAGCATGAAGGTGTATTTTTGCTGTAAGGTCCCAACCTAGAGAACAGAATGGGCCCATGAATAAACTGTGTGGGAAAGACATAATTAAATGAGTTTTCACAATTACTTAAACTATGTCTCTGTGCACAGGTTTACAATATCTAATCCAGGCACTTAGTTCCTGTTTTTCTTAAATTCCAGCATAATTCATGGAATGAAAAATATACGCTGTGGCAGATATTTCAAGTTAATATCTGTACCAAGGATAATATACATCTTTCTTAACAAATACACAGTGCAGCTCACCTCGACTGAGAGATCTGTGACCTGAGAGAACAGGGTGCACATGACGGGAACCTCACAGGAAGAGGAAAGGTCAGCCAACAGGAACATGAGAGGACCAACAGAGCTAAAAGGAAACATTGAACTGCAGTGAGACATGCCAAGATACTCCACCCTGAGGTCCTAAACATGCAGGCGTATATACACACACAGATACACACACTCTGATATACTCACAGAAATGCACACAACTCTCACATATCCGTGAAAACATTGCCTGACGTCTCTTCCCTTTGCCTAGATAGGTGAACTAGTGTTAGACGTAGAGCAGGGTTAGATGCCTCTGATGGGTTGCCATGGTGGTTTTCCTTGTTTCTCAACATATTGACTAAACAGATGTATGTTAACGGGGAGGAGAGAGGGCATCTCAAGGTAGAGGTCTGTTAGTGGTTTGGTGCTGAAGAAGAAGTGACCCTGTAAGAAAAGTTTCACAGGTATCCCCTATTTTCACCTCTTATCCTATCTCCTCTCCCTTCCTCTTGTCTCCTATCTCCTCTCTTGTTCAATATAATACACTACGATATGGTACGATACAACACAATCAGACTTGATATGATGTGATACTGGACAGTGTGATGGGTTACGATATGATACTTAAGCAATGTAATAAAGTATGTTGCACTACGCTTCACTACAATATGACATGATACAATACAATGTGAAATAGGGATGTCCCAATCAGATATCGGTCCGATATCAGCAAAAAAAAAAAGAATATCGGATTATATCAGTGTGCATCTAAAATTACCGATATCAGCACTTCGATATAAGCAATCCATTCCAGACTCCACTCCAGCACTTCTATCTAGCAGCGTCCAGATCCAGCATGCAGAGCCCTCGTTACCATAACAACATTGTTTACTAAGGTACAAAAGAAGTAGCAAGGAGTAGGAATGATGTTGGCTTTGTGGCAGTATTTTCCGTTAAAGTCCGTAAAAGACGTGCAAAACTTGTCATGCTCAATTTTGTGCCGATATCAGATCAATATCGATATCGGCCAATACTGAAGGCTACCATATCTGAATTGTATCGGAGGTCAAAAGTTGTATCGGGACATGCCTATGTAAAATGATGGGATACGATACAATAAAAAACAATATTAGGGCCTAACCGATTTATCGGTGAGCCGATTAAATCGGTCAATTTTAGCCCGTTTGAGACTAATCGGGAATTGGCCAAAACTCGCCGTTTGTCGCCAATATTTTAAGAAATAGAATGCAGAGAATAAGATTCGGTTTCACTTCAAAAATGTTCCGCCATTTGAAAAGATCCCGCGACTTACGCATTTCTACAATATGATTGGATACAATCCAATACCATGGGAAACGATACAATACACTGATACAACATGATACAATGTGGTAAAATATACGATATGCTACAATTTGATACAAAATGATATGATATAGTACCACTGTAATTCAGAACATTTTGCTACACTTGCTAAGATATAAGATACAAAACAATATGACATGATACAATACAATAGAATGTCATATGTCATATGATATGATATAATTCAATCAAATACAATTTGATCCAAAAGCCACAACCCGTACAACTCTTACATTTTTTTTTAATAGGAAAAGTACAATTTACATCTCAACAAGAAGATTGGTGTCAGCCATCATTTACCCTCTGCTGCATGTCTTCCCCTGCTCTATGCACTTCATAGATTTCCTGTCTTTCTTCAGTCTTCCTATTCAGTAAAGGCAAAAATTCCCAAAAAGTTAAACTTGGAAAAAGCTTCCAGCTTCCTTTTGATCTGAATTTCTCAGTCATCATGAGTAAATACAAAATAGGTATGAAGCAGAAGTTCAGCTCTTTCCAGGAAGTGTTGTTATTTGTTGTGTCAAGTTAGGACATTAAAATAGAAAATGATGCAATCAGCTTAAATCTGATGTAGGACAAAGTTCCAGGGTCAACCTCACCTGTACGATGGACTTATTTTTTTTTAACTTGTATCTCTAAGTGACTGAATTTCAGGCCACTGCCAACAGCCCTGACCTAAAATCAAACAACACTGTCCCCGCGCCGCAGTCAGAATCAAAGTGGACATTGATTTGTCCCTCGGTGTCCAACAACAACAAAGCCTCATTGTGGATCGTGAAGCTAGCACACACATTAACACATTCACACATGCAAACAAGATACACACAAGGCAGTGAACAAACAGACACACACACACAGACATACAATAGCACTGACTTCCTGTGAAGTCATAACTGTTACATAAGTCTCTCCCTCTCTGTCTCTCTTCGACTTGTTTGTGTTTGACGTGTTCGGAGTTTGTCCTGGTGAATCAGAAACTGGAGGATAGTTGGACCGAGAAGAACAAAATAAAGATGCATTTAGAAAACATCTAATCTGGAAAAATTAAAGTTAGTCAAGACTATTTCCTTCAGTATCAAATCTAGAAGCTACAGGGAAGAATATCAGAAGCAATGTTGTAGTTTTCTGTTCTTGCTTAGAATTCTTTACTTAAATCTTAAACTTAAAATTATATTTTAACTGGTGTTTCAAGTATTGTCAAGACTATTTCCTTAAGTATCAAATCTAGAAGCTACAGGGAAGAATATCAGAAGCAATGTTGTAGTTTTCTGTTCTGTTCCTACACTAACAACAACAATAACACAGGTAGAAATATTCAAAATCGTATTTAATTTGCTTAGCTCAAGGGTTTTATTTGGGTGTGGATCATATAACTTCAGGTCTCCCATGGTGTATTTAATTTCTGTCTCACCAGACTTGAGAAAGATCGTCATGTGGTGTTCACACATGCACTGAACTCCCTAAAATTTTGGGTTAGCAGCAAATGTGAACTTGACACAGAAAGTTCTGCAGCGGACCTTCAGATCAGTCCATGCTTGTCTGTCAGGAAAACTAGTGTTGTGTCCCTACACTAACAACAACAATAACACAGGTAGAACCGAATCATTTCCTCTAGTGATGTATGCGCTACTTTTTCAGCAGATGAGGTGCACGCTACTCCTCTTCTCTGGTGTTTTTGTTGGGGGTTACAGGGGCGGGGCGCACGTGCACATGCATCGTCTGATCATACTCCGACTTTGCTGGTTACATGGCAGAGAAAATCGAATTCCAATCCCATTATCTGGGTGTCGTAACTACACTCTTAACTACACTATCTGGAATCAATTTTATTAGACGAAACTACCTTTGGTTTTTTTTGTTTTGTTTTTTTTTCACTGCTAAATTTCCACCACAACAACTTTCATACAATAGGACACAGCATGTAACAAGTAGTGCATTAAACCCGCAGCATTCTATCATTGCAGCTGTTTGCGAGGGAACGGTGCATGTTCAGTGCGAGTTCTTCGAAACGTTCAGTGAACGAATCACTCACTGAGCAGACCTGATAAATAGCATACCATAGGACAGTACACTTAAAACATCATGACTTATAAACAAGTTCATTTTTACAAACCTGTTTGCCAAAGCAACACAGACAAACACTCAAACAAAGCTATGAACTGAAATGAATCCTGAATCGTTCAGCTGTGTATCAGTTCAGAAGGTCAGAGTCTCCTGCCAAATGCTACATGATTTGGTGATTTAGTGAATGTATCTTTTGAACTAATCTTTTTAGTGAACTGATTCTAGTGATTCAGCACATCTAAAAGAACTGCCGTGCCCATCACTACGGCTGCTATGCTCAGCCCAGGTTTCAGTCTCGAACTGGATCGGGAAAAAATGGATCGGTGCATCTCGAAAAACCCTCAAAATTTTGTGCACATAGTAGTGTCCTGGTGCGGCTACAGCTTTCACTACACAGTAGCAGGAGCTGGTTGGGCTTGATGTGCCGGGACAGCTTGTACACGACCCAGAACCTGTCTGGTCTCACGTGGTATGAGACTGTAATCCATTGCCTGGAGGACAAAAGGTTAGGGGGAAAGGGACTAACAAACCAACTCCAAAATACACCTGAAGCCAGAAATGGTGGAAGGTTGGGCTTGGGGCTACGACTCCAACTCGTAAATAATTGCATATGCAGAAACCGCAAACACACTACTAGCGAGGTGTGGTTGCGGCCCTAATGCTCCACTAAGGAGCCCACAGGAATAAGTCAAGTAGTGTCCTCTTTTTGGGGATTCAGAATATGGCCACCCTATCTTAGGGATGTGTGAATATTTTTCTAAAATTTTTAGGGAGTGCACATGTGAGCCACATAATCTGATTTTAACCCTTCAAAAAAGTACTGTTATTTTTTTTTATGTATAGGTGTCAATTATTATATATATTAGAGAAAAAATTAAGATATGTAGAGAGGAGAAGAGAGCAGCGACCTGAGCCGTGTCATATCGTGTACATGTGTGTGCATGTATGTGCGGTTATTTCTCCTGCATGTGCATCAGCTCCCTGTTTGTGTCAGTACTGAGTGTAAGTGACTGAAGCCAAGAGATAAATGTATGAAATGTTATTGTGGCAGGGCTGGCCCGGCTCCAGAGGAAGTGCTTGGCTTTGACAATGCTCTCACCAGGAATGCACTGCAGGCTGCCGCCAAGTGGGCGTGTCGCTGCTCTGGGGTCGGAAGCCAAGTTTGGTCGGTTCAGTTTTTGGCCCCTCCGACGCCTCGGGGTGGGTGGGTGAGTGGGGTGGGAGGGGGTGGTGGTGGTGGCGGGGGACTGTTCTGCTTTGCTGTTGTTCAGAAAAAAAGGGAGAAGAGAGAGAGGGGATAGAGAGAGGGAGGCTGTAGGTTTGTGTGTTCTTGTAAGCTTAGTTTGTATAGATTTGAATGAGTGTGTTTGTGTGTGTGTTTTCCCTTTGAGAGGAGGATCTGAAAGGAATGCAACTGTTCCTATACACATGTCCACCCCCCTTAGGCAGCCACAGGGCCTGTTGAAAACAGACACGCATCCATGACACACACACACACACACACACACACACACACACACACACACACACACACACACACACACACACACACACACACACACACACACACACACACACACTGAGAGAGGTTGTGGAATGAAAGGAAGTATCAAACTACACCGGCAGAATACTTATCAAGACTGAGGAGCAAAGCTACCCATTAAGATTCCAGACTTTCACCGCTTAACTTCTGCAATCTAAGAGAATAATAGGATCACAGGAGAAAAAGACAAATAATACGTAGGAAGCCACAATGTTTTGGGCCTCAAATCTTTTAAGTGTTGTGGTCTTGGAGCCAAAAGTTGGAAAAAGTTGGAAATCTGACTTCTTAAGTTCATGCCTAAACTTTTAACACACACACGAGGAACGTAACGTATTCTCTCTTATAAAAAAACTGTATTTGATTGGGTTAATTTGTTTTCTGCCCGTTTTGTCGACCCCTCTGAAAGCTGAAATGCCCCCTCTGCTCCCTCCCTTGGATACAGGCTCAGTATAATGGTGGTAAAAAGGCTGTAACAGAAAGCAGTAAAGGGGGCCGCTGTGCTGTGCTGGAGGCCTCGGTGTAGATCTGCAGACTGGCAGTGCCTGGTGATAAGAGGCTGCGGCCTGGATGGCCTCTCTGAGGGGAAGTGATGCAAGACAGTGGCTCTTTGTTTGGTGGCATTACTTGGTCCCGTGCCAGTGGCCCCGCTGAAAGAAACGGAGCGGTTGGCTTGTTTGCTGGCTGGGTGACTGGCTTCATGGTGGACGGGCTGACTGCCTGGCTGACTTGCTGGTAGGCCGGCAACTGTGGCACTAAAAATCGTAGCTAATCTCTCTTTTCTCCTTTTTTTCTTTCCTCTTATTCGCCTCCTTGGCCTCAAAGGAAAACTTAAGCCGTGAACGGGGAAATATTTTGTCCCATAAAAAAAAAGCTCCAACCACTTCCTTTTTTTATTACTGGAAGGGAAAACTATTTGGTTGTTTCTCAATAGCTGTCAGGGCTGAAATAATTCAGGAAACGTTGGGATGTTTTGATTTCGTATGTGCAGTTGTGGCTCAACCACACCTAAAGCTGTCAAAGACTATTTTAGGATTGATGCACGTGAAATCAGTTAAGCTTCTCCGAATCCACAATCACCACTCCTCTTTAGCTCCCTGTTTTCCTCCAACTGTCCCTTTGGTTCCCGCTCTCCTCCTCTCATCCTCTCCTTCCACTTCCCGAGTGTTGAAATGTGTGTTTTTCCTGCAGCTGAAGCCGTCCTGTCACACTTAGGTTCATTTTACTTTTGAATTCCAAAGAGGAAAGAGAGCAGGGGAAGCAAAGGGGGTTTCATGTGTGTGTACGTGTGTGTGTGTGTCTGTGTGTGTGTGTGTGTGTGTGTGGTGGGAGGCAACATGATTTTGCAATCAGCCGGTCTAAATGTCAGGGGCTCCATTTCCAACCGGCGTGCACTTGCCATGTCTGCCTCATATAGGAGCGAGCATTCCTGCAGAGCTGCAAAAGATCTCATATGTTTAAGAGCGTGAACCCTTCCTCAGTTCACACACAGACGTGTGTATGCACACATACAGTACGGCTCCTCAGTCAACCTGCGCTGTTGTCTTCTTGCCTTAATGTGAACAACAAACTGAAATATCATCTCAGATTGAAAAAAGGTTTATGCTTCGGTGAGGGACAGAGAGTTTTAAAAATGCAATAATGTGACAGAAAGCGATGGAAACCAGCTTTTCAGGCGTATGATCCATTACACTTTATTACAGCAAGGAGACCAGGATTTCAGATCTGTACGGAGACTTAGGGAGACTTCTTTAAATGTATTTACCAACAAACGTGAATATATTTTTATTGTATTTCATACTGTTTACTACTTATTACTTTTTATTCTTATTTTTCTCATTTGGACCTGTTGTACCTCAATGTTCAAACCGTACCCACTAAAAGAATAAGCACTTTTATTTTTAACTTTTACGACTGCTTTCTTTTGTATTCGCTAATTTTCTGGAGAGTGACTTAAACTTCACAAGAAAACTGACTTCTTTGTGCTGCTCTGTTTATTATTTTCAGAATGAGACATTAATTGTAACCAAACTTTATAAAAGCTTGTATAAAAGTGAACAAAACCACCGTGTCTTCATTGAGGGACTGATCATAATATAAAGTGCTGCATGACATGCATGATCTGAAGCAGACTACTGCGATCTTACTTTTACACTTTACAAACTGTCGCGGACTAAGAAAGATGTAATCAGTCAGTCTTGAATCAGTCTTAAACACCCTAAAATATTATGTAGGCCAGATGAGCAAAAACTGGAATATTGCTTCAAAATGAATGTGTTTCAACTTGCTTATCATGTCTCAAAAGTAGGACTGAACAATTTTGGAAAATAATGTAATTGCAATTTTTTTCCTCAGTATTGCGATTTAAAATGCAATTTTTTTTTCAAGGAATTTGTGTGAATGGAGTCAAAACTTAACAAATGTAGGATCACACATCTGTTCTTGCCCTTGAGGGCCACTGTCCCTTTTGGAAATTCACAGACAAGAGGGGTGAGCATGGGAGCATTTCATTCTGACAGCCGAATTGCTAAATATTCCCATTTCTACAGACTGTACCTTTAATCCCTGAGGGCTGGAAAGACACATACAAGAACAAACAGAGATATGGAAAGGGAGTTGTTGCTGAGGGCTTACGGGACTTTAGCAATGCCCAGGTAGCAAACCAGCATTATGGTTTATCTGCATGGTGACCCTCTGGTTCTTTAAAGACCCACTCCGATGAAAATCATGTTTTTCTTGTTGTCTTCGTGTTCATATGGCGTTTTTCTGATGGTAAAGGGCATATCATGAGAAAAATAAGTGCAAATTGCTTTTCTGAGTATTTCTGCATTTGAATCGCTGTGAATCTCTGGCAGACCCAAGCAGCAGGTTCAGACACAGTGAGATTTCCTATGTCACAACTCCAAGCTCCGCCCCCGGATGCCCCCTATGCAGGCCACACTTGGAGAAGTAGAGAGGACGATCGCGGAACAAGCGTGTGTGTTAGCGGATTGAAATGCTCGTAAGAGAGCTAACTATAATATTAGCTTTCAGCGTGTAACCAAAGAGATTAGTGTCCGAGAGCTGATTAGCTCCGATGCTACCTGCCACTTCTACTACATCGGCTACAAGCTAGCGTGAAGAGGAGTGGAGAGAGCAGCGCTGTCTCCGCCCATGATGAGGCGAATTGCTAATGAGCTACTGGAGCTCTACAGAAGAAAAGCTCTTAAAAATGACACAGGTAACACGATTTTGGCTAAAAACTTAAAAAATCACAATTTAAAGACCACCAAGAACACTTTAAGTAGTTTTAAAAAAAATGATCGGAGCAGGACTCTATCCCACCACAGAACGCTTGACTCTTAAATTTCCAGTATCTGATGGTTTGGGCCCTTTGGCAAAACTTTGGCAAAGTCGTGTTGCACCTGAAAGATACCTCATGCTGTTTTCTCCTAGACTTGTTTTCATTTCAATAATGATTAAAAAGAAAACCCCTTTATTGATCGATCGGGCTCTATAAAACAAGAGCGGGAAGTGGATGAGGGTTACAGGAAAAGACAGAGGAAAGAACGGATGTGTACGGGTTTGTGTGTGCATCTGGGGATTGTCAGTGGTGCAACGGGGGCTCAGTTGAGCGCTACACCAGATGTGAGAATGACTTTTGCAATATGTCATCTAACAGCAGACTGTGGGGGCTTTAGCTGAGCTGGCTTGAAGCACATAAATGCTGGAGAGAGACAAAGTTACAGTGAGCGTCTTGTAACTTTAAAACAGATCCGGAAACCAGCTGAGGGGGTCGCATCCCTGCGTCGTTGGAATCTGGTCGTGTGGTTCGAATGTATTATAAATGTACGCAGATGCTCTTTGAAAATGACAGTTCGCCCCGTTTCAGTTGTATCTCAGGTCACATCGATACAGTGACTCAGCAGAACGAGTTCTCCCAGTTGTGAAACGCAGCAGATAAGGCGGCAAACATAAGATAGGTCAAGCCGGATTATGCCGCTCGGAAGTTTCACCCCATGATCCCTTTTGTTTGCGTTATCGCAACTCAACCGCTATTTTCAACCGCTTGTTTGCAGTGATGTTACGACCTCTCCCTCCAACACAAACACTCATCAATACTGGTTTTAACCGAAAAAAAGGGTGTCATTCAACCTGTGGGACAATGACACAGATAGATAGATAGATAGATAGATAGATAGATAGATAGATAGATAGATAGATAGATAGATTGGAATAAGTATAGATCAATAGTAATAGATAGATAAATAGGTATAGATGATTAGAAAGATAAGTTTAGGTATAGATAGATAGATAGATAGATAGATAGATAGATAGATAGATAGATAGATAGATTGGTAAAGGTATAGATATAAAGGTTTAGATAGGCAGATTGGTATAGGTATAGATATATAAATATAGATAGATAGATAGATAGATAGGAATAGGTATAGGTATAGGTATAGATCAATAGGAATAGATAGATAGGAAGATTGGTTTTGGTATTGATATAAAGGTATAGATAGATAGATAGATAGATTGGAATAGGTATAGATTAATAGGAATAGATAGATAAATAGGTATAGATAAATAGATAGATAGAAAGATAGTAAGATTGGTTTAGGTATAGATATAAAGGTATAGATAGATAGATGACTTTAGATGACTAATCCCTGAAGGGAAATTAAATTGTCATGGCAGTCCAGCAGAATACCATGAATTAAATAAAATACTAAAAAGACCAGAGAATGAAAAAAACAAAGATATAAAAATATATATACATGAAACCTTAAATAGAATACCTAAATATAATGAATCTTAATCTTTAACAAAATAAGATGACCCCTCTCTCACCCTACTATCCTGTTTTCTCTCTTTTTTTTAAATAATATTTAAAAAAATGAAGCCAATTTAATTAGGAGCTTTTTCTTCATGGCTAATTTGAAGGATTGAATTATTTTTCTCTTGTAACACAGTCACGCATGTGTTAGAAATTACTAGCACAATAGAAATACTCTGCAATAACAACAGCTGATGCGTGTTTGTGTGCGCTGGGTGTGACGACCTTATTCTTATCTTATTGTATAATGCTGCTGTAAATGAAGCGCGGCACGAATGCAGCTGCAGAAGTCACACTTATTGGCTCCTGTGCCGCTGAGCAAAGTCAGTTACTGTGATTGTGAAAGTTCAGATATCATTTGCAGCACTTTTCTGGCTGTAGTTTGTTGCATTGTCTCCTGCGGTAAACCCAAACGTTTAGGCAGCACAGCGGGCCAAACCTCAGCACCGATAATTATTTGCATACACAGGGTCCGACCTGGGACTGGTTCCTCCTCCGTGAATCCAGCCTGCCAGAGCCGATAATAAACGGTTTCTCCTCCACCTGCCTGATCCGAAAGCTTCCTGTGTTGATGATATGTATGTGGCCCGGTGGGGTGGAGATGACAATGTAGGTGTGGAGGAAGTCAAATGCAGGTGTTTGTGTGTGTGTGCTGTCCCAGGTGGGTGCTGACAGACCGGCAGGTAAACAGGCAGGTTGGTCTCTGATCTCACCTGTTGAAGCAGACAGACACAAGCCTGCAGGGCTTCAACAGCGGAAACACATTTCTTTTTGTGGTGCAGGAAACAGCTCCTCTCTTCTCCTCTCTCTTTTCTGCTTGTTCCTTTTTTTTCTCCTTCTCTTTCTGCCGTTATCGCTCTTTCTTGCCGTGTTGTGTTCACTCCTGCTCTCCCAGGTGCTCTCGTGTAAACACCCAGGAAACAAGCTTATGTGGGGGAGAAGAGAGGGGTTACGAGGAGGGGGGGGAGTTAGGAACGCCTCAGGGTAACAGCAGCACAGGTGGGCCGGGGGGTGGGGGGTGACAAGTGTGTTTGTGACAGGAAGACTTTGTGTGCTCCAGCTTCATAAGGAGGTGCTTTGGAGAGAGAGAGGAATGTTACACATCCAGATTATAACAGACCACCCCTATAAAAACTAAAAGGAAGTCAGTTAAATACACAAACAGAGCACACACACACTTACGCGAAGCCGTCTGACTGCTTAGGGTTTGAACTTATGAAGTCGGCAAATTATTTCCTTTAACTTATGTAATGTTTTCTTTCAGTTTTGAGGTCAAGCTGCTTTATTTGGCCTTCGGTGCCCTAACAGTGTTTTTAAAGAGAGACACCTATTCAGACACAGGATGTGGGGGGAGATCTATGGGGGCGAGAGTTGACTTAAAAACAACCCGAAATTGCATTAATGTTAATGTGCTAAAGAGTTAAAGTGAGATAGTCAGCATCCTGTGATTGATACACATCTATTAAAAGGTCTCGACTAAGCATGTGTCTCCTTTTCGGTGAAATCAGGTTTTCACATGTGGAAATTGTTGCATAAAGCTCCTGTGAGGAGTTTTAAGTTTGCAATGAAGCATCCTGAAATAAATATTGATGATAGTTTATTAGAAACACAAGCTAACTATTCAGTCAGTGTCAAAACTTGTTAAACCATATGGTTAGTTTAATGTTTGAAACTGCTGCTAATGCTGCGGGGTAGTCAGCTGAGAAATAAGAGGTACTGCTTTGACCACAGGGGGCGCCAAATTCAAATGTTCATCATAGATGCTTATGATAAATAATTCGAAAGAGGTTTTATGGAGAAGGAGGTATTGGCGCGTTCCCATCACCCTTGAAGTCGGAGCTGGGAATGACGTCACACCCGAGTTATCAGCGTTTCAGTTACAAAATCGGAAAAAAGTAGACAATGGCCAAAAACGGAGGCAGAGACAAGATGGCTACATCTGCAAAAGTTATTCTCGGTCTTTAGTTAATAACGGGCGAGTGCTCTTAACAACTGCAAACACGCATTTTATCAAATATATGTTGATTTAAATAGATTTTTTTTCAATGTAATTTCAGCAGTTGTCTGAAAAATAGGATATGTAGGCTTTTTACAACTGGCGCCGTTAACTCGGGGGTTGTGTGGAAAGTCCGACTTTTCCGAGTCAGAAATCCAGCCTTCAAAGCTCCAAATCAGAGCTCGTAAATCCCAACTTCCGAGTGCAACTGGAGCACACCACAAGTTTGTGTTCATGTGTATGGAAGCCCTGTGTGGACATACATCTATAAATTGTTGCTAGTTTGTATTTCGTGAGGTTTTGAGTAAGCTTAACTTTCCTTCTTCCTTATATGGGTCATGACAGCATTGCATATCGTGTCCCATCATAGTGAGCCGCCTATTATTTCGATTTCCAGATCACCAGAAAATTATTACATTATCACCATAAATCAATTTATTATCATGGAGGAACCAGAAAACTAAAAAAACATGTCAAAAATTATGAAGACGAATAAGATTGACTAATTATTGCAGGAATCACTGTATTGTTATCTCCATGGTAACGAGGAAAATATGTTAAAACCTCAAGAAAACATCCAGAAATTATCTAAGGAAAGCAGAGTAAATAAAATAAAATGAGCTCTTCTGTTTGTGTGACGTGTGTGTTTTAGGACTCAAAAAAGTAAAGACACAACTCACGGGTATATTTAACAATATATATTTCCATTGTCAATGTACATTCCATTTTGACATAAGCTTTCTTCACAAACAAAAAGTTGGCATCTAAATAAATACTATATAAAATAGAACTTCAAAATAAATATATCTATAAAGGGAACCTTTTATATGAGAGATTTTTTTTCTTTTTGTTATATTTAAACAAAACAAAAGCACAGATCTCTTTCTTAATCCCCAAACGTCGACATTGCAAAAGGCATAAAGGAATGGAGTAGCATCACCCAGCTGTATGAGACTTCCTTTAGTTTTGGATTTGAAAATAAAAAAAATTTCAAAATCAGATGGTGCCCGCAAACGAGCGACACGTTAAGGGGTCTGTAAAGGTCACAGCATCGTAGCAACAAAATAAAGTTTTCATATTTAAGTTTTTCGTCGTCTGTGATTATTCCTTGATCATGCTAGCAAGCACATTGGAAAGTATAAAGCTAATGTGAAGTGAAGAACTCTTGCGGTGAAAGAGAAGAATCAAGGCAGCGACTATTTTTTTTTGAAGAAAAAGAGGTCTGCTGGTTTAAAAAAGATGGCACAGAACAGAATTTGTGAGAAAAACAAAGACAGAAGAAGAAGAGAGGAGGGGGAAACAGTGAGAAAAAGGAGAGAGAGAGAGAGACAGGCTTGTCTTTCTCCCCCTCCGTCTCTGTGGTATGACAAGTTTATGCACAGCAGCTGTGTTTGTCAATCAAGGCCAGGGGTGTTTGTTGGACAATTTCTCAGGGAGAGGAAGGAGGGAAGAGAGGAAGGAGAGAAAAAAAAAACAAGAGTGGGAGAGAGAAAGAGAGAGAGAGAGCTGAGACACTGAGCAGTAACAGCAGGAAATGGGTTGATCCGGATAGGGGTAGATTGTGTTCCCTGTGTGGATTCAATGAGTCCACAGTCTTTAGGACTCGGAGAGGAACCGGGGAATTAGCTTAGCCTCTCGACTGCTAATGAGCCATGGATAGCATAAACAGCTGAGCTTTTTCTCTCTCTTCTTTTTTTTATTGCCGGGCACACTTCTCTAAATCAAGTGCTTGTGATAGAAAGACCTGTCAATTTTGTTACCCCGTCTCAAACCTCCCTCTCGCCACCCTCCCTCTTTTTTTCTTATTCCTCAAAAACATCTTCCCCTCAAAATATATATCTAATATATTTTCTATATATTTTGTACTGAATTGTAGTTATAATGTACCATGCAATCTTCCGAGGACATTTAAAAGTCTCATCTAAAGAACACAAATGTTGTGAAACTATTTACAGCAAAGAACATTTCACCTGCATAGCTCTATTCCTAAATATATTGTCAAAACATTTGTGATTTTTGTCGCCCCCGCCTACAGGTACTAGGCCTTGGCCTAGCCGCACAATCATTCAAAGTTTTGGCACCTTTCTGTCAGACTGAATTGCTAGGTTTTGAAAATATTGCCTCATACATTCAAGACTAAGGACAGTGTGTTTTTCTTTCTTTCTTTCTTTCTTTTTCTTTTCCTGTGTGATATCAGCGTTGTGCAACAAGAAAAATACAGGTATGAGCAAAGTTAGGCATCTTAGTGGAAGTTAAGGGCCCAACATGAAAAAGGGAGGTGTGTTTGGAGCAACAAAGACAGTATGCCAAACAGAAAAAGGCCATCTGTATTAAAGGGCAGCGTGTCTTCAAGAACGCAACTGCCATCAACTCCATTTGGCGAGAGTGCATAACAACTGTGATCACCCAGACAGCAAAAAAAAAAAAAAAAAACAAGCTGCTGTATGCTAGCTTCCTTTGGCAACATCCTACGAATGTCATGCAAGCCACAAAAATAGACACACTATCTGACTGACGCAGCAATGCAGCATAATGTTTAGAATCGGATGAAGACACTGTGTGTAGTCGAGGCGGGCTAGGGCTGTGTAGTGCACGCAGACGCAATGTGAGATAGCTGAGGTGGTTAATACTGTGCTTTAGTACGTCCTTTTAAGGGGTTTGCGTCTTTCTAAAAAGGTTGTGCAAGTGGCAGGTTTCCGATTTCGACAAAGGCTGTATAGATACGAACACGACAACGACTTCGCTATGCCTTCTCTCCCCCCCCCCCCATGCTCGTCGCTCTCTCTAGCACTTGCTCCCCCCCTTCTCCTCCGGAAAACATTATTTTCTGGCTAGTTTGTCTCTGACTTAGCTTGCTTGTTTAAAATGATTAACTATTGCCTTTATTTTGCGCCCTGGATGTTTCTTTGCCGTCTTGTGCAAAGAGGAAGAAGAAGACCGGGCTCTTTAGGCAGTTTTTAGAAATCAACGTACTGTAGGCCAAGTTCTAGAGAGGAGTACTGTAACAGTCCCTGAGAAGGTTAAGTGTACTTGTTTTTTACACGTTTCTCTACGACACATCAAATTCTAGCACGGTGGGTAACCATTAGACGAGAGCATGCGGGTCATGACATGCATTACCTCTGAGGTGATTGGTGAACAGCATTCAAAATCTACTCTCTAGGCTTCAAACCTCAACATACTCTCAAGTGATTATCCCTCTTGTCACTTGCAGCACAATTTCTGCACAATAGAGTCCAAACGGGGAGTATTTGAGACTTTCAAATTATACGTTTTTACAGTTAGCATTACTGAGCTAGCATCTGTAAGCTAAACAAGGAAAACTGGTGACACTAGAAGATCATACTGGCGGAGAGAGTGAGCGAGTAAGTGGTAGTTTCACTCTCAGCAGTAGCCTATCATAAAGCCACAGTATAGGTAACCACTTGTTTTTGTCTTTGTTTAAACCAAGGGACTCTGGGCTGTGCTTTTGGAGGGGTTTGGGAGGGAGGTTGTTCAGATATTTAGCTCCATCAAATAACCTTTTTATGCTATCCCAGAATCAGCAATAGGCTTCTGGTTAGTTACCGTTACAAAATTAGCTGAAAAATACAGAGCAGCAGAGAGGAACAACGACTTTGTGCCTTCGGCCATCTTTGCAAAAACAACAAAAACACCATTCCCACAATCTAGTCTTTTCTTCTTGTGTCACTCTTACAAAAAAAAAACATCTCAGAGGGCCTGTTGGGTGTTCCTACAAGCAGACTTTCTAAGATCAGGCCCCATTCGATCATTCACCCTATCAAACATAGGTCAAGAAGCTATTTAAGTACCTTTGTTTTACATAAGTCATCTTCCAGCAGATTAATGGGGTAGTTTAAGGGGTTGGTGTTGGATTGTCCAATCCAAAGAGAGCAAGCAAGTACTGTGTGGTCCAGTCTGTTTCTTGAGCACGGCCACTATTTAGCCAGTTTGGTCCAGTATCATGACCCTTGCTGCTGCTTCTCTAGAGTTCCAACTTTTGCTTCCACGCCCCCATTTTTACACACAGGGATGCTCACGCCAGCTTGCAAGTTCTTGCAGCGGCAGCCGGGTCTACTAACATTGTCGTAACACTTCTGTCCCAGTTTGGCCAGGCCTGTAGCCGGCAGGTAGCACACCAGGCAAGGCAGGACAATGGAAAGGGCAGCCATGAAGGACCAGCGTGCACAGCAGTTGGCTTGGGAGCACGAGCAGGGCTTGTCGGCGCACGAGCCCTCGTCGTCCTCGTCCTCTGTGCAGTGGTAGAAGATCCCTTTGACCAGGCACATGCAGGTGGCTGTATCCACCAGGCTCTGAGCAGAGCACAGGCACTCCTGGTTGCAGACCCAGCAAGAGGGTAGGGTTCGGGGGAGCGTACACTCTGTGCATCGACACTTCCCGCAGTGCTCGCAGAGAAGGAGGTGCTTCTTCTCGGCCGGGGAGGAAGGGATCAGCGCCAACCCCTGCTGGCCTCCAGTGGTGCACACACCTCCTGCGGGCATCTTTGCTGACTTGAGGTCCAGAGATTTAGAGGAGAGAGAAGTCGAGGAAGAGGAAGTGAGGACTTTCGATTCAGAGGAAGGGAAGCAGCCTGGAGGTCGGGTGGTGATTGTGTTCACGGTGCCTTGGTGGGTTTGCAGGTTTGGGTGGTGGTCCACTGTTGGGTTGGGCGCAGCGTGGTCCAGCAGCCTCTGATCGGATGAGGTGCTGCTGCTGCTGCTGATAGAGCTGGGCCTCCCACTGAAGGAAATCCAAGGGTGGGTGGTGGTATCCTGGTGGGGGTGGGGCTCACACCTGCCCTGTTGGTGGTGCTGGTGTTGATGATTGTGATGGTGGTTATGGTTCGCCCCAAGGAAGGCCTCCTGATTCTGACCCAGCCAGGTGATCCTCCGATTCACAGACTTCTGGCTTGGGGGCTGCTGGGAGACGACGGCGGGGCTGTCGATGTAGTCGTTCTCCACATGTGAGGACTTGATCTGATCGATGGGGTAGATGGTGAGAGGGTGCTGCAGGCGACCGTAGGGCACCCGACTGTCCAGCAGAGGCTGGGATATGAGGGAGGAGGACACTCCGGGGATGTGGTGGGGAACCCTGGACTCCATGTGTAGGCTTATGCCTTGCACGTCTTCACTCTAAAGCAGCATTTAGCAAAACTGCAAAGACAGACAGACACAGAGAGACGGTTATGACTGGCTGCTTCTTTTCTTGTTGAGGATTTACGGTCCTAAAAACGGTACCACAATATTACAAAAAAGGCAAACCATTCATGGAAAAGCGTGACATGAGGAGGATGACTGTCGGAACATGGTGTCTCTTAAATTGTTGTTAATCAAAGCTGGTTTGCAGGAAGTACGGAGAATTTTTATCGAAATAGAAGGACATATGAACACAAACCAACCCTTCATGTGTTTTCATCCTTATATTCAATCACAAATTATAAAGTCTCCTTAAGAATCAAACCGTAAAAAAACAGATTGTTTTATACTCTGTGGCCCAGTTTTCTGCAGGTGTTGAAGACTTTGGCCTTTTTCTTCATCTCATGACTTAACTGGTAAAACTACTTCCCTGACGTGAGCAAGACTTTCAGTACAGCTGTAAAAAAATATGCCAATGTAAGAACGACATTGATAAGTAAAGCTTGAGGATTAAAAAATTAATGGAAAATTGTTGGGAATAAAATGTTCGAATGCGCATTCAAAAACGTTTCTCCGGGTCAGATCCGAATAATCCGAATGTCGAGTTTCTAACGATCTTGATCTTTCAGAATGAACACAAACAGCGCTTCAAAAACTCCTCTATTCTAACTTTGACATTAGAACAATAGAAGTTGGGTTCTCTTCACCTCCTTTCCAAAGAGCAGGGAGCACTAGAGAGCAGGGCTTGCATGCAAAAGACTCAAAGATGCAAAACAAGGCAGAGCAAAGAGAAGAGAAAGTGGCTGGACAGAAAAGAGAGACTTCGACAAAGCCAAAACGAACACAAAGTGCGAGAGAAATAGATCTGTGTGTAGGCCACACCATTAAGCCGTATAGGAAAAGGAAATAGAGCTTGAAATATGTCGAAATATTTTCTTTTCTCACAGTGTACACTTAAGCTGAATGAGACAGGGATTTGTGAATGGATCCGGTTTGCTGAACTGCAGGTTTTTTTGTGAATGAAAGGTGCTGGTTGCAGTTGGTGTTGCAAGAATGAGAGCATGAATGAGTGTGCCCTGATCATGACAAGCCTGAAAGGAATAGGTTTCATGAATTTGATGTAAGAGGAGTACAAACAGGAAACTAAAAGACGATTGCAGATGAAGGAGGCCAGCCAGACTTTACCCTCTCACACATCTTAAAAACGTCTGCAGAGTACCACACTAATCCAGATTATTTTGCTTTATAATTTAGGTATTTTGTACGAATTTCCCCATATCCCCGAGTCTGTAACACAACTGCTGTAATGATCGGTTGATTTTTTTAATGCAATCGTCTGCTCTTATTTCTCTTCCCCCCCCCAATTTTTCCTAAAGCCTGTTTGAGAAACCTGTTGCGACATTGCTGGCACCGACACCAGGCGCTTGTGATCGTCAAATCTCGACCATTATGAGATCCAAGCCGGAACAGTTCGTGTGCAAGTGCGCGCTCATGTGTGTATGTGTATGTGTGTGTGTGAGTGCGCGTCCCTCCCTTCAATATGTGAATGGACTGAGTCATAAAAACCGGAGGCGGCCGCTCGGCATACTCAAATAGCATGTTTATGAAGACGATGTAACCACCGATTTAACGCGATATCTCCTGATCGGCTTAATTATGACATGGATAAAGAAAAATCAACACTTGGTGTTTTAATCGGTGGCTGTTAAATGCGTATTTTCATGCGTAATTCTTGAACGCCATCGCTTCTGAGGCGAATAAAAGATACATGTTGACAATTTATAGGAAGTTTGTCGGGTAAAATGTAAAAGTTGACGACAAAAAACACCTGACACAACCGATATGGTGCGCCAAACCAAGCCGATCGCTGCAGCGAGGAGACACGCAACAGAGCTGGACGACAGCATGTAGTCAGAGTGGACGGAGATCGAGATAGATATCGATCTGTTTCAGTGGTATTTATCGTGACAGTGGCGTCTTTACAAAGCTTGTACAGCGGCAGGGTTGATGTCGAGATGCGTTTTTGCTGTCTGGGATTAAATCGGAGCAAGTTAAGTTTTAAAACACGGCGCTGTTTTCCCCTTCTCTGCGCCCTCAACCTTGCCTTTGGCACGAAATTGGTGGTTAAATATTGACTCAAAGTGCAAACACTGGTCGGGGGGAAACAGCTTGTTGCGATATAGAGTTTGCAAGAGCGTTTTTCATGCCTGCGATCCAGCAGATAGAGAGGGGAACAGTCGAGCGTAGGCAGTAAACGCAGTAAAGGAACAGAGTGATCGGTAAATAATGCCCAACACCAACAGATCACGAGTATTTGACGCTTAAAAACACAAAAAGTCTTCACTTACTGTGGTTTCAGGATAAAAATCTCATCTCTTCGTTGCGCACGACGTCTGCGCGCAGGTAGTCCAGTCCAGGCGAGTGAATATATCTCCACAAATGTTGAGTAAATAAGTCCAAACGTGAGGGGGGATAATGTGAGTACAAATAGGCGAAAAGGAGAGCGGCTCTCCTGCACTCTATTTTTCACTCGTTGGTGCGTAAAAGGCGACTGCGGTTGTGGACGCAGAGCTCTGGATATGATGTTGCAACCACCGAGGGGGAGGGAAGTGAGTTTTTATGAATGGGAGGGTAGAGGAAAGGAGAGGGACGGCACTGCGCAGATGCATCGGCGTTTTCTCTCTCTCTCTCTCCCTCTCTCTCTTTTTTTGTGAATGGGAGGGCAGAGCGACTCGGGAGGGCTGGAAATGCGGAGGTTACATTTTTATGAATGGGGAGGACTCCGAATGGCATTGCGCAGGCGCGATGCCGAGATTTTTATGAATGGGATGAAATGGCGAATGAGGTGTGTGAGTGAGAAAAAGGGGGCGAGAGAGAGAGAGGGAAGGTGGGGGATTTTTTCTTTTTTTTTTTTTGGTCACAAGGGCAATGTCAGGGCTGATTTACATAAGGAGTCGACTCATCGGCTGTGGTGCCACTCTTGCTTTATTTTTGCCTGTTAATTTATTTATCTATGCAGTTCTCGCTTCCTGCTTTACATTAAAGGAGACGTGTTTATGGTGCTGTTGTGTAATAGGAGAGGGAGAACTGTGAGTGGGCTCAATCTGCAATGAATTAGTGCGTTTTTCCCCGAAATGTTGAATAAATATCCCCCGAGTCAAATGAGGGATAATTTGTGAATTATTCCCCCACTTTAATCACATGCTTCAGCTCGATTAGGGCGAAATAATGTCCGCTCCCTTCGTGTCCTGTCCTATCTAAAGGCGTTTATTACGAACAAGGACGTGCCCTTCCTTCCTCTGCAACAATGTGAGGTATGACTACAGCCTCTCTGTGGTAGTGTAAAAAAAAAAAAGAGGAGAAAAGGAGGAGGAGGAGGAGGAGAGGGAGGGCAGTAAGGGGGGGTTATAACGCCTACCCTGAAACGCAAACCAGCATGAGGGCAGGCAGGATTCACAAAAGGACAGGATGTTGTTGATTTGTACCGAAACCACACGGAGGAAATGAGTGTGAATTTCCTTTCTCTCTGACATCCCAGTGTGTGTGTGTGTGTGTGTGTGTGTGTGTGTGTGTGTGTGTGTGTGTGTGTGTGTGCGCCCCCCCTGCATACCCCCCCCCTTCCCCTCCCTCAGCTTGGGGCTTTTAACCAGTCAAAGGTTAACAGTTGCCCCATTATCCGTTTGTACACGTTACCATGGCAACCTCTACACCTCCAAATTGGGATCATTGTTTTGGAGGAAACTGGAGACAGACCTACAGTCAGGATTTGATCATTAAATTTCATTTTTATTTTATATATTCTTTAAGATTAGCGATGACATTTAAAAGCAACAACAATAAAACAACTTATAAACTTATTTCAAATTTTTAGAAAGTATTGTACCTTAATAGAAGAGAATACAGGACAGGATAGGATATGAAGGGATAGGCATTTAATTGCCATTGCATTAAGGAATATCATAAAGCTTTTACTTTTTTGTAAGATTGGTAATGACATTTAAAAACAACGACAATAAAACTACTTTTAAACTTATTTCAAATTGTACAAATTATTGTACCCTAATAGGAGAGACTACCCTTCCTCCTGTTAGCTTTTACTATGCACCCACTAAGTTAAGGGTCGGTTTCGACCTGTGTCTTAAATCAGCTGTAAATTACACTAAAAACAATTTTGTATCATCCAGTTTGGTTCTTATCTCTAGGTTATCTTGTAAGGCTTCATTGTCCATTGCTTATTTGGGTCTTTTTTTGTCAATATACCCCTCATACAGACATCTATACTGAATTGATCTTACATGCCTGGACATGCCTGTTGTTGTTTTTTATGCAGGGAAAAAAACATGGCAAAATGAGAATTTCCTGAATCTCACATGATTGGAAGATGATCTGACTGTCAGTGCACTTATGATTTCAGTTTTTGCTTTAATTATTAGATATTGATCCAACCGGGTCAACAGCGACCCTAACACGACAAGTGCCATAATTTTAATAAGAGCATTTTATAATTTAGTCTATTTCGATTTTTTATTTTTTATTTTGTTGAAATAGAGGTTCCTGACAAAGTCAAAAAGTATTGGAGCAAAAAAGCTAATTTATGTGATTCTTTGAAGCATTTAAAGACAAAATCGTGTCAGTGCAGACCCTGACACAAGAGGAGGGATACAGTAGGACAGGATAGGATGTGATAGTTTTTGCAGCAATGCTAACAAAAGATTAAAAAAGAAACATCAAATATATATATAATATATTTTAGGGTTATTTAAAAAGAATATTTCAAGAGCAGGAGGCCTAAAAAAACAGTGAAATCTTATTTAATACTATGGGAACCCTTATACAGATTTCATGGAGTATCCTGTGAAAATTTGTACTCTTGTTTTTTTTTTTACTCAACAATATTTTTATTAGTTTTATACAAATTATACAAAGAAAACACATTACAAACACCCCTTTGCCCTTACAACCCTGTCTACTGCTGGCTATTCCTATTACTGTGCTTAGTTAACAAATTCTGGAGCCAAAACAAAAGTAATATTTCGGAATTCTGCTGGAGTTCGGGTTTTGTAGATCTTGAAATACATAAGATGTTGAGAAATAAAAAGTAAAAGGAGAATAAGTTAAATGAACTACTGTACGTTAAGAGAAATACATATGTAGACAAATCGCTGAGAACTGAAAAGGTTCATAAAAGAGATAAGATTTTAAATTATATGATTATAAAACATTGTACTTGTGTTTTTTTAGTCACTCTTCCTTTGTACTGTTAGACATCAATGTATAAAAACAAGAAAATGCATTGCAGAATGTTAAGTGGGCTTTAATTTATAGTATTTTATGTCTGCTCAGGGTTCAAAGTGTCTCCTAGAAGCCGTTTAAAAGTCTTGGTAATATTTTATGACAAACTGTGTATAAATCTTACATGCAGCTTCTCTTTTCTTTTCCTCCCTCTAATACACACACGGGGAGAGACATACAGTGGATACTTGCAGATAGCAGGCATCAGCCAACATAAAGTGCTTGTTGAATTGTAGATTTCTTGTCGGTGTGATCATCCAGGCATACATGCATAGAAAGGAGAGGCCTCGACTTCTCTCCAGAGTCTCTCCCTCCTAACTTTCCTTCCTGCCACATCTGCTGGCGACTGCCGTGAGCTTTGAAATAGACAGACATATGCTTTTTACAGTACTATCCATTCTTCTTTCTAATTTTTAGACTAACTTCACCTTAAACATCCACTCACACTTTTATCACCAGCTCAGACTCTTCTGTGTCAATCAAATTACTCTATAAATACTCTCTTTGTTAGTCTATCACTTGATGTCTGTCACTAATCTATTGCTGTTTACCAGTCCTGTATTTCCTGACTGTTTCCAGACACAACAACTTGACAAAAGCTGCGAGTAGTTCCCCCCGTGTGTGTGTATTTGTGTGTCTGAGCAGAGTGTTAGGTCACAGTGCTTTAATGCAAATCACAGCAACAGCTCTGCAGAGCGCTCACGGCTCACATCAAAAGCTTCCTGTCGCAGGTAAGCCGTCATTTACTACAATCCCTCCTTTGCACTCTGCAATACACATCTCTCACCAATTAACAGTTTTGTGGGCGTGTGAGTGTGAGCGTGTGACAGGGGGAGGGGGTTCCTATCAACAGCACAGCCCGAAGATTTGGCCCTCAAAGTGGAGTTCACACCAGGTCAGCTTGTCAGCGTGATCACAGCTCAACCCCCACAGATATAAAACTACATTTCAGTGAAAATATCAGGATAAATAAGTTTTATAAAAGAAAGAAAGTGGCTCTAAACAGAGTCAGTGTGCAAAGACTTAAATGCCAACAGAAATACACACAAGTTGTACAATTATGAAAATAAAATCTATAGGTATAAATTTTTCATTTCATACTTTATTTCATTCAGTTAATATTCAAAACATTCAATACACACAAGATAAAATCTCAAACATGTGAATGAAAAGGAGCAGAAAGTAGAAAAAACTTAGAGTCTGCCCCTCTTTCATAAGATGTTCATCAACTAAACACATAATAAAAAGATATATATTTCGTATATAAAGGAAACAAACATACAGACAGCAAAAAGTAGTGTTGCTGAGCCGTCATTTGACTTTGTGTACTCATATTTTTTGTGAACGTACTATTTAAAAATTTGTTACGTCAAGAAAAAGTGTTTTTTCCCCAAAAAAATTTGACTCAAAAAGTGAAGCTTCTATAAATTCTGGTTTTATTACATACCAAGAGAAATATTTCAAGACTTCTTTTTTTTGTTTTGAATCTTGTCTATGGTTCATGTATGTGCTTTACCCTCTTGTGGAGACGATCAGTCTGTGGCTCTGTTGGATTGTCATGGAAGTCCAGGTTGCCCTGATAGCTCCTTCTGTATCGTTGGTGTCTCTCACCTTTCTTTCAGTGATACTCCAGAGATTCTCTATGGGCTTCAGTAAAAACATAGTGGTAGTTTTGGCCCTGTGAGAAGGTGTCAGGTCTTGCTGAAAAAGTAAATCTGTATCTTCAGAGAGCTTCTCAGCAGATAGAAGCATGAAGTGCTCTAAACTTACCAGTAGTATTTAGGCTGCGTTATTTCTGATCTTGATTCAACACTGTAGGCCAACACCAGCTGATGACATGGCACCTCGAATCAACACAAACTGGTGGTGTGTCGTTCGCGAATGACTCGTTCAAAAGAGCCAAATCTTTTAAGTGAACTTACTGAACCGAATCACCTCCTTCGTTCCTCAGTTCAGTTGAGTTGAAGTGAGAAACAGCATTGCCAGTCGAACAGCCGGTGAACGATGGACCACATGCACCGACACCTGAATCACTTTGTGAATGAATCACGCATTGAACTACACTTTCTGGAATCATTTTTGTCAGACAAAACTACCTTTTTTTTTCACCGCTAAATTGCCACCACAACTTGCATACAATAGGATACAACATGTAACAAGTAGTGCATTAAACCCACAGCATCCTAACATTGCAGCGGTTTGCGAGGGAACGGTGCATGTTCAGTGTGAATTCTTCTAAACATTCTGTGAACGAACAACTCACTTAGCCCAATTTACCGAGCAGACCTGATAAATAGCATACCATAGGACAGTACACTTAAAACATCATGACTTATAAACAAGGTCATTTTTACAAACC